TGCTATCCTATCAATATGGGCCAACATTTCTAAAGAATGCTTTCAGCACCTTGTTGAATCAATGCCACGTAGAATTAAGGCAGTTCTGAAGGTGAAAGGGGGTCAAACACCGTATTAGTTTGGTGTTCCTAATAATCCTTTAGGTAAGTGTACAGTATATAAGTAATTGATCGTGATTTTTTTCTAGTGCAAGGGAGGTTTATCATTTATAGTGTTCATGCTGAATATTACTTCCGATGAACCTTGTGCCGTTTAACTCTTTAAATGCACTATTCTTCCAGTTCCTGTTCTTCTGTCCATCTTCTAATTGCTTATTCTGCTCAGGGGGAGCCTGGAGCCTATCCTGGGCCGCACAGGGCACGAGGCTGGGATACGCCTTGCGTGGGATGTCACCAGAAATGTAATAGCCAATACCAGTGAAATTCCAAGATTCTTCACACCCAATTTGTACCACAGTAAAAACAAAACTATAAATTCCATGTACTTCAAAATAAGATATTAAGGCAGAAATGGAAATCGGAAGAAAAAAAACAACAATTAAACATGGGTAAGGTTTTCAATACTGGGGTAACTGGATGGGCCATTGGAAATTCAAAGGCGACAAAATGATCATGTCATCGTCGCGAGCTTATAAATGGATGTTCAGTAGGTCAGTTAATTAAAAAAAAATCATTTTCAGGAGGGTCACTAGGCTAAGCAAAATGTTTTTTATACCAAAACAAACATGATCATTTATGGTAGCGTGAAAACTTTACAGTAAAAGTTTTTATTTTTATTTATTTATTTTAGGTTTGTTATCTAACATTTTGTGAGTGTCAGCATTTAACCAAGACTATGAATGTATTGCATGTGGTTCAAGAATAATAAGCATTTTATTTCGGGTATGTCCTTTTTTTTCCCCCCAATGTTTTTAAAGGGGGGTGGGGGGTGCTTGAGAGGTGGACTAGGCCACTTGTAGGTATATAGGCACTGTAGAAAAATGGGTAGCATCATGTTTTCAAAATTTTGGCATTAACTTGGTAAAGAAGCCTCTGTTCTCGTGACATCCCTACCCAGTACTGGGCTTTAGTCATTACAAGGCACTTACACATGGTAATTTAGAGATGCCAGTTAGCCTAACTGTATGTCTTTGAACAGAACCACATCACACTGGGAGAACATGGAAAGAGAACAATGGTGGGATTCAGACCCCTGAATCTACAACCAAAATGCTACCCCAGATACTGTTCTTGTTTTATAGTTCTGCAATCTATTCATTAGTGCTCTTCATTCTGCGTTCTCTTTATTGTATTTCGTGATGCTATTACAGTAAATGTATGTTTTTAAACCTATGAATATGTCCAGTTATTTTTACTTTCACAAAGAATTCAAGATGATTAATATCTGTGTATGGGTGTAACCTCATACCTGCAGGATTGGGAATTTGCATGTGTGGAGCGTACATGCTTTTCCTGTGTTCTGTAAGTTTCCTTCCAAAGAAATGCACTTATGGAAATTGACACCTCTGATTGATGCCTGTTGTGTGTGAGTGTAATAGACTGACATCCAGGATGTCCCCCTGCCTTGTGCCCTGTTCTGCCTGGTATTTTTTTCTTTTACAATATAAAGAATGAAAAAATATATACTTTTTACATGATTTTAAAGGAAACGGGGACCATTGACCAGTGGGCTTTTTAAAAGAAAAATGGAGACCTATTTGATTAAGGAGCAATATGAAACTGTACTGGTTAATATACTTTTTCCTTTGTCACGATGTGTATTGCACAATTGTGTATAGCTGCAACTGTTGTGAATTCTCTTGAAATAAAATTGTTTTTAATTATATTTTGTCTGATTTCATATTTAATATATACTTTGGTAAAAAATGCTGTTTTGGTTGATAAGCTATCTCCTCAAGCACTTGCTGGTATGATGAATTAATTGTAGACGTGATGACATGATGGCTTGGCCCTGAGGTAGGAAAGCAGCCCTAAACAAAAACACTCCTATTTGGTATTAGGTTTTTTCTCGCCTGCTGTGTTTTTCTACCAAGTGTGACATCTGGAATTATGCCCAAACAACTCCCACTGTCCATCAGCCATCCTTTTTCTTCAGATTTGTCAGGGCTCAAGTTGTCCGGGCAGCAGCCTGAGCAGAGATGCCCAGACCTCCCTGACCCCAGTCACCACCTGCAGCTCCTCCAGGGGAATACTAAGGCATTGCTGGGCTAGCTGATAGAGAATCTCTTCTATGTGTCCCGGGTCTGCTCTGGGGTGTCCCTCCTGTTAGACATAACTGAACCACCTCCTCAGGGTAGGAACGTAGATTGACCGGTAAATTAATAGCTTTGCCTTTATGCTCATCTCTCTCTTCACTGCGACTGGTGCAATGTCTGCATAACTGCTGGAGCTGCACTGATGCACCTGTCGATCTCCTGCTCCCATCTTTCCTGACTCATGAACAAGAGCCTGAGATACTCTGATTGAGGTGGTAACTCATCCCCAACCTGCAGGGGGCGATCCGCCCTTTTCTTGTTCAGAACCATGGCTTCAGACATGGAGGTGCTGATCCTCATTCTGACTCCTTCACACTCGGCTGCAAACTGCCCCAGTGCCCACTGGAGTTCACACACTCAATGAAGCCAACAGGACTATATCAACTGCAAAAAGATATGATTCTGTGATCCCAGATCCACCATCCATCTTAGGTTGCACCTAGCAATTCTGTCCATGAAAGTTATGAACAGAACTGGCGACAAAGTGCAGCCCTGGCACAGTTTGACAATCCAAGTCTGTCTTGGTGGCAATGCAAACCAAGCTCTCACTCTGGTTATGCAAGGACCTGATAGCCTGTAGGATTTTGCCCAACTCCCCATACTCCTGGAGCACCTCCACATGACCCACTGAAGGACACAGTCATATGCCTTTTCCAAGTCCACAAAACACATGTAGACTGGTTGGGCAAACTCCCATAAACCTTCCACTATCCTAGTGAGGGTAAAGAGATGTTTCAGTGTTCCATGACCATGACAGAATCCACATTGCTCCTCTGGGTAGGTCTTCTGAGGGGGGTGGAGGAGTATGATCCCCCTGAAATTGGAGCACGCCCCATTCTCATCACCCCAATCTGCTAATCCAGCACCACTATCCCAAACTTCCATGCATTGTTGAAGAGTTACTTTTTCAAAGAGTCAATTTGTGTTACCCTAGTTATTTAAATTCATTCAGCTTACGAGAAAAGATAAAATAGCTAACCCCTCCCCTAAAGTAGTTACATTTCCTATGCACACTAACTAGGCACAGCACGTGTCTTTGAAATCTAAAGAGGCACTTGCAAGCTAAACACAGTAATACCATCCTTGAAGAAGGAGACCCTCATAGCAGAGATAATGACGGCCCTAGTGGACCAAACCAACAGAGCATAGCTTTTGATTCAGCTAGTAGGTCAAACTAAACTCATCCCATTAAAGCTCAACAAACTATTAGCTGTTTATGTGGTGAAGGAGAAGCTTAAAGGTTGAAGGTTAAAAAAAAAACATTTGCTTCTTTACAATACGTATCCATCACTGTGGACTTCTGGACAGCTTTAACAAAAGTTTTCTGCGTATGACAGTGCACTGGATCAACCCCTCAACTTTGCACTATAGGAAAGCGACTATTCCCTGCAGACAAGTTTCGGGGAAGACACATGTATGACAGATTTGTGGCTTATTTGTGGAAATTTCTATGCATTTTAGTTTCTCACAAGTTTATATGAGCCATGTGTGCCAAAAGCAGACACAATAGTTTCTGGTTCATCTGTTGTAATGTGAAATGTTTTTTGTTTAGTGCTGCATTTGTGATATTTTTTTTGTTTCACCAGAGTTAATAATTCTTTTACAATGACTTATAAGACTTTTCATATTCAAGTGTATGATAAAGAGCTCCTGTCCAAACCAATCATTGTGTGGGACCTTTCCAGCTGCTAGCTGAAGTAGGCCACCTCCCACTCCTCTTACTCCACTACCTGGCAGAGTGCTGCACAGATCCCCATGTTGCTGGCATCAGTGTTCAGGATGAATGGAAAATGACAGCCCTGGGGTGGTGGTGAGTGCAACTTTCAGCCAGAAGAACAGCAGCTGGCACTCTGCCATCCACCGCTACTCTGACCCTTGGGAGTGAGGTGATGGCACCGCGATGTCTGTGAGGCCCTTGATGAATCTGTAACTGGTAGTAAGAGGCCTTCCCCAGGAAACTCTGTAAGTCGCTTGCCATAGCTGTGGTGGGCCATGGCTGTCACCTTAGTGGGATCTGTTGCCACCCGCTGACCACTGGCTACTTGACCCAGGAAGTCCACCTGGAGTTGGAACACTTGGCAGGGTTCAGTTTAAGCTTCACCCACTGGGTGAACGTCAGCACCTCCCAGAGGTTCTGCTCCACCTGCTCCAGACTGGGGGCATGGACCAGCAGGTCATCCAGATAGACAAGGCAATGGCTTTAAGGAATCCCATCCAGTGCCCATTTCATTAGGCATTCAAAGGTGGCAGGTATGTTTCATAGCCCCTAGCCCTGGTGTGAACGGTGTCTTCTCATTGGCCTCATCCACCAGTGCCTTCTGCCAGTAACCACTTCACAGGTCCAGAAAACAAAATGCCTAGGTGCTAGACAGCACATCAAGAACATCATCGATGTAGGGGAGGGGTTAGGAGTCAAGCTTGGTGACAGCGTTGAGGCAGAGATAGTCCATACAGAACATCCATCCTTCTTGCAGTTAAGGAGGGCAGGGGCAACCCAAGATACCCATGTGATGGTTTTCAAAAAACAGCTATAGACAGGTGTGGGCCGGGAGCACTCCAAAACATCAGTATAGTGCCAGCAACTGCTGTTGCTCTTGGAGGTGGATTTCCAGCAAGAACAGAACAGAAATTTATGTAGGACTTGGAAGTGGGAGTAAAGTAAAGGTTTATACAAATTCCTCTTTTTGGATTTTGATCTGTTTCAAATTCTAAGTTTTTATCAACTGCCGAACGAAAAAAGTTTTCAAAGTATGACTTGTTGTACTTTGTCTCTGTCGCCTGTATCCACTTTTGTCTCCTTAAAGGGTCCCCGTCCGTGTGTGTAAGTGAGTTTATTCTCGCTCGTTGTTTTACTCCTGTCCTTTTATGGATTGAGCAATAATAGAGTCTGCTAAAAACTGAACTTTGCTGTCCGCCTCATGATGTTTTTGCTACTTGCGTGTCATATTTTATTTATTTGACCTGCAATAAACTTATTTATTATTATAATTTATTATTAAATATGGCCAGCAAATGATCTTTCATTTCCGCAGAATATTAAAAAAGTAATAATGCAACGTTATTCCACTAAGTGAAATAGTGTTTTTAGCTGGTACTTCAACAATATTGGTAGGGAGATGTTCCTACCATCCATAACCACATCCATGCCCTTATTGGTCGTGTTGCTGTGAGTTCCACACAAAGCGGTGCTGGCAAAGCACTTGCTTCTGCTATCATCTCTATGGATTTGTCTCTTTCTTCAGTTCTTGTTTGCTTTTCTCCTCATTCTTTGCCAATTTTGGAACCAAACCTATGCCCTTGTGACAGACTTTGTTAGTACTGTTGTTCTGTTTGGCTATAGTTGACTTTAGGTAAATTTGTAACTACTTTGTTTTATAAATATTGCAATATTTCTTGCTAATTTTTCAAAATTGCATAGTGATTTTTTTCTACTGCCATTCATCATTTATATTTTATGCACATAAAGGCCTAAGAATATCAGTATCGTACTGGTGATACCAGTCTTGGTATTGAATCAAATTGGATAAAAAAGAGTCAGTGGTACAGCCCATCCCTATTTCCGCTGTATTATAGAGTCAGTCTGGAGCAGAAAGAGAAGGCGGAAGGAGAAGTAGTTCCTATCGTACTGACATTTATGTCCTGGTAGTAGTTCATGTTCGGCCTATTATAATAAAAATAAACATCTAAAACATCTAAATACCAGGTAAACAAACAAAAAAAAAATACGATACTTTAATGGTAGAATTGTCAAAAATAAAACCTTAAGAAAGTATCTCGATCCGCACATCCTTAGTTTTCACACTGTAAAAATTACAAGACGGAGACAGACAGAGATAGAAACACGTGGTTTCAGCAAAACTAAATGACAATGAATCCAATCTCACTTCTAGACATGCTTTAAAAGCTTTGAAGGTGTGACCCTAGGAATTTATGTATTCTATGTACAGTATTAATATGATAACACTTATGCCGACATCCATTTCAGAATTTATCCCGCATTGTGCACCCAGTGATGGGTTTATGATAAAGCGACACAGAACGGAGAAGCCCTCATTGAATGTGGGTGGATAAAAAGGAATTAAATCGTTTTAAATTTTAAGTTTTAATTGTATAAATTATTTTAAAAAGGGGTATGTATTTTTTTTAAGAAAACGGATATATTTTTCAATTTTGAAACGTTGTAGCTAAGATAAAAGATGTTTTACAGAGAATCGAGCCCTTATAAGTACATAAGTTCTAACGAATGCAAAGGATACACCAAAAATCCCAACCCCACCTTCTTCACACGCAAGCACATAACATATGGTCCGTACACCACGTTGGAGCAGCAGTTTCACAAAAAACACAGGAGTGATGGATCTTCTTTCACTTTTAGGAAACGTATAAATAACAACGAAGATTTGGTATGTGTGAAATGATTTACTCGATTGTGTTCATTGTCAGTGGAGCTACATTCTGTTAAACAAGACTAATTCAAGTGAAAACTAAAATATTGCTAACAGTCCGTTTCTAGTTAGGTAGACTTAAAAGTGCGCTACTTTTCCCTTTTTGAATACCTGCAAAAATAAACGATCTCAATTCGGACTGATGTTTTGAAAATGTGGTGGCGTATACTTTGATCCAGATGTGATTGCAAGAGATTACCAACTTGAACCGTGCTGTTATGACTTATGCTAAACTCAGTGTTTAAATGTACCACGCTATGCCATGCATATGGCTGTGAATAGCGAATGAGATATACAGTATATACACTTTACGTTTCAACTATAATTTCTTTTTGTCTTTTAGCTATACAGTTATAATGTGTGAAATGCAAGGGTTTAACAGTGTACCGAACTGAACCATGCAGATGCACAAAGCAGTAAATAGTGCTATTTGTTGGCCTGTTATTTGTGACATTCAAATAATTTAAATAAATTTTCTATACTCAGTTTTAGCCGGTGTCCTGACACGTCCAGCTTTAACTTAAAGGAGAGTGCTGCCCGAGGGTAACTAACTTTCATTATCATAATTTACTCGGGGGCATAAAACATAACTATTGTTCTTTAAACCTGTTTTGAATCTCTGAAGTTTTGACTCAGATTATAGCGGCAAATGATGGCGCTTTCACGACCACAATTCATAAAGCCGCAGAAACAAAAAGTAATTTGACATTTAAAAGTATTTTGAATATCTTTTTGAGAGATCGTCTTCCGTCGTGGCATCCCCATCCCCCCATTTGCAACGTATTCATCCCAGCCCCCAATCATACCAAATACAGGTCATTTCTCGACTAAAATGTTTTTTTTTTAACAAATCTATGTTTGCAAGCTTTACTTAAATTACAGTATTTCCCACTCCCATCTTTAAGGTATTCTGTTGTTCAGAGGGTCATCGAAATCATTGAAATATTTAAGCGCTACCTTAAAAATATTAGAAGGGAATAAGGTGGAAAGCTTTTGTCGCATGTTTATGCTATTACACTATTAAGACGTTTGCCTTGAAAATGACATTACTTCATCCAGTGGTAATATTATTTTGTAACTTTCTAATGTGGTTCTTTCAATTTTGTTCTACAATGTAAATCAGTCTGAGAAAGATGGTCAATGTAATTTTTTTGCGAAGAGTTAATTGTAATAGGCCACAGTTTTGTTTCTTCTTCAAAGAACATTTAATACTACTGAAATTTAAAATAAAGTCAGTAGGAAAAGGGCTCTGTTCCACAGATGGAAAATAACTAATGTCGGAACAAAGCAGGAGTATCTAAGTCTACAGGTTGAGTTAAAAATATTAGACTTGCTAAGAGGAATGTCAAAAGGAAGATTGCATTGGAGGCTAAGGATGACATTAAATGGATGACATATTTTCCTAGTATTTAAACACCAAAAGAGCTCTAAAAGCTGAAGTGTCTAATCTGCAGAATAATAAAGGCCTTGTAATTAAAATGAAATTGAAATACAATAGTTAATGAGTTTAATGATTGCTGTTTCATGGGTATTCACTGCAGAAGACATGAGTAACATACCAACGCATTCCTAATTAATTCTGCTTCGTCTTTGTCCAATATATGTATAACTGAAGCTACAAAGCCTAGCTAAGCTCACAATAAATAAATTGCAGGGCCCTGATGGTATCTTAACCTACAGTTTTAAAAGAGATGAGGGGCATTATTTGCTGACCTTTAGCTTTGCTATTTCAGAAATAGTTATCTGCTGGTGTGGTACATTCTGATTGGAAGAATGCTAATACAGTATAACATCCATATTAAAAAATAGAAGTAGTAGTAATCCATCAAACTTTAGGCCAATTAGTTTAAGTTGCATAACTAGAAAGGTAATGGAAGTTATAATCCAAGGGAATATGGTAGATTACCTGGATTCAAATAACATTCTGAGGGATAGCCAACATGGATTTAGGAGAGGTAGATCCTGTTTAACAAATCGGCTTGAGTTCTTTGAGGAAGCTACAAGGGAAATTGATCATAAAAAGGCCTTTAAGTGTGATGTACTTAGATTTCCAGAAGAATTTAATGTAGACAAATGTAAGGTAATCCGTGCAGGGAGCAGAAACATAAAGTACAGGTATTTTATGGGACCTACTGAAATAAAGGTAGCTGATTATGAGAAAGACCTTGGTGTGTATGTTGATGCTTCCATGTCTCATTCTTGCCAGTGCGGGGAAGCAATAAAAAAGGCCAATAGGATGTTGGGGTATATCTCCAGGTGTGTGGAGTTTAAGACAAGGGAGGTAATGCTAAGATTATACAATTCCTTGGTGAGACCTCACCTAGAATATTGTGTGCAGGTGCAACGAAGAGATACGAGAATGATTCCTGGTCTTAGAGG